GGAATTAGCGTTCCGACTCCCCGCTGCCTCCTCACGGCCCCCCTTCCTCAAGCTGAGGGCCGTTTATCCCGCCATTATTGGCAGAGACAATGGTTAATCTTTTTCAGACTATAAAGTGGAGGAACAGGAGAAGGGGGAGGAGCGTGCCCATAATCTCGTCATAGAACGTGCTCGGTCCAATCGTCATACTCCCTCATCCTCGACCTGCTGTCAAGGGGAGATACAGCTGGAAATACATGCCTGAGTGGACATGGGAAATTGTATTAGTCCTCCAATAAAATCCACACTTGGCAATGTATAAATGACACGCATGGCCATATTTTATAGATTAATGAAATAAACACCGGAGAAGGTACACAGTGATGAATGTGCTTGCGTCTCCCCATTACGGCGACGAATCCTCAGACCAATGATCAGATGACTTGCTCTGCCTATATTCGATAGTGTGGGCAAAACAGTGTCGATATTTAGCATCTGTCGAGGATAGCCGCTTCTGACGGGGGCTCATTTGGACAAATTCTCTCGTTAAAGGCTTTATGTGAAGAACGCAAGAATACGTTCTTGTGAACTCACCAACTACGCTCTTCCTAAGAATCTGCGTAAGAAGATTCTTTCTTTTTCCGTGTACAGTACTTTGTATACAGCGGCGGTTGTTTTAAAGTGCTCCATAAATACAGTTGAGTTGAGTTTTGAGCCAGGTTAGCTGCAGGCTGACACACAGATGTCGAGCGTCTCCACCAATATAAACGATATCCACTGAAAGAAGGTTAACCTGGCCGTTAACACTGCGCCCCCGCCCGTCAGCCGATATTAACAGCCAGCCTTGCTGCAGCCCGTCGCCGGCCAGCCGTACAGTGCGGGAGCCTTAAATTAGCAGCCAACGCGCTAGCAGAGAAGCCTTTTGTGTTGACGGGCCGGCCGCCAACCCCCTTTTTTTGTTTTCCCAGCCGGGGATTCCCCGTGACTCCAATACGTGTACAGGTAAATGTGTCGACTGTGGACAGTTCTCTTTCCTTTGGTTTTTATCTGCTGTTCTCATACGCGCTTGATATGACCAGCGGGAGCTCCACGCAGTCACTCCGCAGTGAAAATGAAAAGGCCAGATTCTTTAACGTGTCATTCATATTGAAGATGTTGTGTGATTAAAGTATGAATCAGACTGTATTGAATCGTAACTATATCGTCCAGGCTGCAACTGAAGTGAATCGTTTGCATCACAACGAAAGCGCGGTGAATCGTATCGTCGTTGGAATGAATCGTCTTCGAAATGGGAGTGACTCGCGTCGCAGTTGAAGTGAATCCTTTTGTAATTGCGGTGAATCATCTTGTATCACGTCGCAATCGGAAGCGAAGCAGATGGCGAACAACGGAGTCAATTGCACTGTTGTCGGAATGAATCGTATCGTGCCCTGATGAGAGCGAAGCGTGTCGCCATTGGAGTGAATTGCGTCTTAACTGAACTGACGAACGTGTTGTTGGCGGCGTATCGTTACGGTGCCGTCCTGAAACAAATTCTGTCTTTTTGCATCGCGTCATAATTTCAGCACTCTGCGATCTCTGTTGTAGCATTCTGAATTCTTTACAAAGACATCACATTGCTTGTCAGGCCTGCGGTTTTGAAAAAAAAAAAACAGAAACAGCAGCATCACAATAGCATGTGTGTGCGTGTGTGTGTGTGTGTGTGTGTGTGTGTGTGTGTGTGTGTGTGTGTGTGTGTGATATACAAGTGTGTGCATGCATCACTCCAGGCTGTAAATAGAGACCACAATTTTGCTTTTGTCACATATTCGTGAGTTTGGGGTGTGTGTTTTGGTTGCCGTTGAATGTCACAGCCAACACACACACACACACACACACACACACACATACACTCCCCCTCGAGAGAAATGTCCCTGACTATTTTTAGAAGTGTATCCTCCTCTGCCTGCCTCTTCTCAAACAGTCATGCCTGTCGACGAGACTAATCCACCTACGACGACTTCTACGACTACAAAATATAAACACACACACACACGCACGCTTATATTCTTGCTATCGGAACCATGCCACATATCTTGCAGTGTCGCACTCCACTCCACAAAAGTATAAAATAATAAAAGAGAGAGATGATACCATTCCGCAAAGACCATCCCAAACCTACGTGCTGTTAAAACTCGACACTTTCAGCATTCACTCAAAAGCGGGATAAAATGCTCGGGTGTTTTTTTTTTTTTTTTCCCCCTCTTCAGGAAGCAGGTACCTCCTTCAGAACTTTACGGAATGCTTTTTACTTCCACCTTTGTGCAAGGAGGCACACGACATCAATAATCAAATGTCTGCCGGCACAATGGGAAAGTGGACTCAACAAAACTCGAGAGAGACTCTTCTGGGAATACCATATTCCCTTGCGTGACGGGTACGAGTCGGCGGGAGAGAAAAAAAAACATAACTTGCTGACTGTAGCGCGGCTGAGAGAGAAGACAACAAAAGGAGGCGAGTGGGAAGGACGCTGACTTTTGATTTTTTATTTTTTTTTATTGATCAAAAGTTTCCTCCTCTGAGGAGGAATAAAAACCTCTGATGGAAAGTGACAAAAGGAGTGCAAGGAGCGAGACAGGAAGTCTTGACGGAATAAGCTTCACCTTGCGAAGCTGTCACTCAAGTTAAATGACCCTGATAATTATGTAAATATAATTCTATATTTCAGATACAATCGTATAAATATATTTTGTTAAATTATGTGTCATTATTTCTCATAGTAAATGAAATAATTGAATTTAAAATTATAATAATAAATCTAAAATTCCGATGACCAGTTAATCAGGCGATCGATATTAAAATGTTATATATACATATAAAACAATGTCCCCAGTGCGGTTTTGACACGAATTCGCAGTTGGGGAAAGTCCAATAAAGACGAGTAACAAGACGAGGAAGCCTCACGGGAAATCAGCACATTAATTAAGCAGGCCGGCCTTATTGTCACCAAGCGCAGGGATTTTACTGCCTTCCGTTTTGCTTTATGGATGAGTATTGCTTTCCGCATCAAATACGACACGGTGACGCGTACTTCGGAATGTCACGAGAAACTCGCAGAACTGACGTTGGACAATTTGAAATGTAACCTCAACAATCTGAGTCGAGTATACGGGATACCTCATATGTCGTAGTCACAGTTTTTAACCACTGTCACTTTAGCATAGCTGAGTTAAACGAGCATCATGTGACTACTTTCTGATTTTCTTTTCCTTTTTCATTGGCTTGAATTAATGATGTTAAAACTGTGGAGCCATTCGATACAATTTGGAATTCTAGCTAAAACCATCAAGGTAAATCATAACGTTCAAGTCATGCCAACCTTTTCGGATTCATACAACCATCCTAAGACATTAGCATAACCGAGTTTAGCTAACATGAAATATATGAACTCCTTTTTTTGCACTCTTCCTTTGGCTTTAGTTAACTGATGCCTATACCACGACACCGTATCATAGAATTCTTAATTCTCCCCAAACATAGGGGACTAAATATACAGTAAAAGTCCCGTTAAAATTTTCGGAGTTTATCGCTGTCTTGAGACATTCGTGTAGCGTAGCCAGATTCAGAATGTACCGTGGAACTATACACGTCTTGGGAATACTACCAAAATACACCTCAAAAGTGGTGCAAAACTTTCAGAAGTGGCTCAATTGTCATGAGAGGGTTGATCTAGCATCAAAGGATTAACTCTGCCACTTTAGATGTTTCTTTCTTTTCGAAGAGTCAGCGTCAGCAAGGGGCGAAGGAGGAAGGATCTTACGTCAAGTAAGCGGTAACACTCCATCGTCAACTTTACAAGTTTGATAACGAGGAAATAAAAATCCCTCCTGGCGAATGAGTGGCTGGAGTGCCGCATCGGTGTTCCATCAATCAAACAGCACGGGTGAGGCGGGCACGCCATCGTGAACACAAACTTTTCACTTGGCAGCTTTGCTAACTCGCCGGCCCAGCAGAAGCAGATGCAAAAGTTATGACTGCGAAGACGCGCTTTTTTTTTTTTAAGGGAGAGATGGCAGACGATGTTTTGCATAATGCATGGCGGAAGCCCATTTTGGAACATCAACACACTCCAAAAAAGAAAACAAATAAGAGTTCTGGAAGCGAGTGCTGTGCGATACTGCAAGATTTGGTATCACTTTGAGTAAATGTGAAGTCACTGTCACTGAAACTTATGTACAGTATTTGAAAGTCTGAGATAGATTCATCATCAAATGCTAAATGCGAATGAATGACGTTTCAGGATTTTTGTTGGTTATACTTTGGATATTGATCTGACACCGAGTAATTATAGGAGCGGTGTCATCGATACAAGTCCAAATAGTGATACTTTTTATGATTTATGTGGGTGTGTTATCAAATTAGTGTATCTAAAATAAATTACAATATACAGTATAAGCTAATATATATATATTGTATATAAAACCTTTGACTGGTTCGCTTTTTAAAACTGTTTTGCAATACCATTGGTGTCATTGGGAAAAGTATCACGATACTGAGAAGTAAACCTCAGTGCAGTTTACTTCTAGCGTAAAACACACACACACACACACACACACACACACACACACACACACACACACACACACACACACACACACACATCAGTGGGTTCCTTGGGGGCAGGCAGAGGTGTGAACCCTCTCAGTGTGTGTGTGCGGAGTGCATGTATCGTTCCCCAGCTGGGCTTGCCATGCTCGAGCGCAACTCCAGGGTGCGATCTGTGGCAGCGGCGTCGATAAATTACGGTGACTAATTCTGACACTGTCGTGCCTTCCACTTAGCGGCAGCGTGCGCTGTCATGACTGTTTGCCACACAGAAAATCCACAGCAAAAACGACTTCCTGTCGACCAAAATGCAGTATTCGCCGCTCCTTACCTGCTCCGCCTGATTAATCCAACTTCCATCGCATATTAACCTCCTCTTCTACTTCTCCTCCTCTTCTTCTTCTTCTTTTTCTCCTCTTCCTCGTGGGCTCTTCCAGCAAAGTCATTCAGGTGAAAATCATCGATGACGAGGAATACGAGAAGAACAAGAACTTCTTCCTGGAGCTGGCAGAGCCTCGTATGGTGGACGTGAGTCTCCAGAAAGGTGCGCTGCTCTCACGCTTGCTTTTTGGCTATCACCTCTGCTCCTTTTTCTTTCTTTTTTTTGGGGGGGGGGGGCGGTTTGGCTCCTGTCCTTCTTACACTCGAGCCTCATTTCACCCCACTTGTCCAAATAACAATACATTTCTTTGTCATTTTGACTCCAAAAGGAACATCTTGAAGTGAATTTTGGTTGCTAAAATAAAATGCTCGTGCTAATGCTAAATAAATGTAGTTGACCACAAGGTTTTACATTAAATTATTTGTTTAGAAAACGGACCACAACAAGAACGGCATAGACTGCTTATCCTGACCACTTGCGCAACGAATACTGTTTGGCACACTTTGGTTTACGTCGCTGTTTTTTTGTTGCGCGAGCTGATGCTAACGTTAAAACTGCCGAGTACTTCTATTTTTTTTGTCACGCTGTCATCAAATGAGGTTTTACCAAAAATTATCTTTACATTCGCGCTCCCCGGCTAGCGCTAATGTTAGCTGCAAGTGATGTCATCGTCATTCATCCCTGCGCGACTCATAGTTTACATAAGAGCACATCTCTTTTGACCACCCGTGACTGTAGTTTGATTGATAATCTGGTTAAATGCCAATGCCAGTAAATCAAAGTCTTTTCGTCATCAACTCTGTGCTCCTGTGCTTGCTAACGACTGCTGAAAACAAAACTCCCACCCAAAAAAAAAAAAAAACAAGTCCATCAGGTCTTTTCACGAGGCTGCCGTTATCTAATGCGGTGTTGTTATCTAACCACGCTGGAGGCCAGGTGGACAAGCTGGTGTGGAGGCAGCTCAGAGTAGTGTTGGCTTCAAAACACGGACACTGCGGACGTTTTCCTTTTAGGCTACGGCGGTGCTGTCCGAACCATTCACGGTGACCCCGACGAGATTCCTTTTTAGATGCACAACCGCGCTAGCTTTTTAAGAAATAAATGACTCCTTCGACGAATAAATTTAGTCTTACCTAAGACTAATCAACGCCCCCCTCAAGCAATCATCATCTTACGAAAAATAAATGCCTCCCTCGGGTTCATCGTAACGCATCTCTCAAGCACTCATCCTCCTTAAGAAATCATCAACTAAATACGAATACTATGTGACCAATAAACACACCCCCTCAAGTAGTCATCATCTGAAGACAAACGTCTCATCTCCATCAAGCAATCGCCTAAATCGAAATAAAGGCCTCCCTCAAGCGATCATCAAAATAAGACAAACGATCTCTCAAATGATCAAATCGACATCAACATAAGTCAAACTCATCAACTTCAGACAAATGTCACCCTCAACCATTGAGCACCTTTTTCAGTCAAATGAATGGCTTCTTCACACAACTGAATTATTCTTAAACATACATTGTCGTGAAAGTAATGAAAGAATGGTTGACTGAGTGTTACGGCACGCCAGGATTTTTTTCATCTCAAAACAAAGCATTACTCGCCAGGGAATGGTGCCTTTTTTATTTTATTTAATATTTTTAAACCAGACGTGTGAGTGCTATTTTACTGCCATCCTGCTGCCGCGTTATTTGGAAAGGAAAGTTATGATCCGTTGAAACCTCTTTCTGTGTACCCTCTTTCTTTGCAAATATCTCATGTTACAATATGGGCACCTGCGGCTTATAGACAGGTGCGGCTTGTGTGCGTGTACAAAATGGTTTTTCCTTTAAAAATGTAGTGGGCGCGGCTTATAATCAGGGCCGCTCTATCGTCCGGAAATGACGGTAACGCCTCCCTCAAACAATCATCAACTGAAGAGAAATACCGCCTCCCTCAAGTAGTCACACACAATTTAATGTCAAACGTTACCGACTGAAGACAAACGCACGCATACGTCATCTTCCGAAAAATAAACACCTCCCTCAAGCAACCGTCATCGGATCGACGACACGTACCAGCGTGAAGCAAATGGAGTCACTTTCTCGGAGCTCGCAAAGTTGGCCTGTCGGCGCAATCAACGAGCTGCGCTGTTCAATAGAGAGTCTTAAATCAAAGGTGGACGAAGGAAAAAGGCAGGAGGACGAGATGGAAGCGCCGTTGGCTCCTGCCGCATACAGAGCGAGCAAACAAAACAAAGACTTCTCATCTAATATTCATCCATTAACGCTCCCGCACTCGGCCTTTAATAAGGCGGCCAAACAAACCCGATCATCTCTTATGAGCTACACGCGAGCGCGCGGGAGATTAGCATAAAGCGCCACGTTCATAAAAGATGAGCGGAATGAAAGCTTTTCACGGTTGGAGATTAAAAGCGCTCATTAGCGTCACAATGACACGGGCGTCGCTAACGTGAAGCGCACGGACGCTCAGGTGGCTCGTCCGCATGCGCCGGAACCTCCTGGGAAGGGCAGGAGGCTTTTACTTTTAGCCCGTCGGGTTATTGACATGCGCCTCCCCCGAGCTGCCGCCCGTCACGCCGCATCTTCATCACTCAGCGACGTCCGAGCGGTCTTGCTTGGAGTCGGCAAGATACCTGACTCATCGTTGACTCGAGTCTGCGGCACAAAAGCGCCGCATCAAACGCGCAAATACGATTGACTGCGTTTCGGTTAAAAAAAAAAGACGTATGTAGTGATTATTTGAGCGAGGCCTTTTATTGTCTGTACTTGATGGTTGCTCGGAGGAAGAGTTTGTCTCGAGTTGATTTTCAGTCAAAAGTATTGATTTGTCTTCGGTTGTTTGACGGAGACGTTTATTTGTTTTGTGCTGGATTTGTTTTGAGGGAGGCGTTTATTTTTGTGATGTTAATGGCGTGCTTCAGGAAATGTGTTTATTTGTGTTCAATTGATGGTGTGGCGCGTTATTACTCTCATGTCGGTGATTGCTTGGGGGGGGGGAGGTATTTATTCGAAGTTGACGGTTGCTTGAGGGGGATTGTTTGAGGGAGGCGTTTATTTGTCTTTGGTTGACAGTTCATTCATGGAAGAGTTTGTTTGAACTTGATCTGCTGCTCGAGGGAAGACTTAATTGACGCGTTGTTGATTCTTTGACAGACGCTTTTCGATGTCTTCATTTGATTATTATTTTTAATTATTTTGTTTGCGCACTGTTGTGGTTGCTTAAGGGAGACATTGACTCGGATTCGCTGATGGTAATTTGAGAGAAGTGTTTATTTGTCTGAAATTGATGCGCTCCCCCCACCTGAGGAACCTCAATCCGACCACTTCAAATGACATCATTTCAGGAAGGTCGTGTAGAGGACTTTCCGTTGGCAGGCCCCAATATTTCCATCTGAAATATGGATTCAGTATTTGAGCAGCATCCCTCCGAGGTTTGCTTTCCCCACTCGAGCGTTCGCGCGAGCCAACCGCCTGTCATCCTTCCCGATTCATCGCTGCGTGAATCTCTCGGCCGGACAGAACCTTGAGCTCATTATGTCGGTTTTGCCAGGCGGGGGTCACGAGCTGCATAAATCCCGATGTTGCAAGCAGCAGGACCAGGAGGAAGACAAAAACGAAGCCGCCTGCCCTTTGTGTTGCCTTTAAAGTCGAGCTAATGGTGCTCAACGCAACTTAACCTGCAATGAAAATGTTGAGCTTTGTGCAGTGGAAATATACGAGAATTGTTGTTTTTAACCTTTGTTACCTGGAGCTGCAAATGCTGGATTTTGCTCAGCTGGGAATTTGAAGACCAAAACAGAACACCGTATTGGACACAAAGTGCCGGGATATTTTCCGGGTCTCTTTAGATCAAGCTGGTTTGGATCAGTATTGCTTGTATCAGGTCTCGCTGGATCAGGTCTATGAATATATGGTTTGTTTGGATCAGGTCTGTCCGGATCAGGTCTCCAGTATGAATATCCGGTCTGTTTGAATCAAGGCCATTTGGACCAGGTCCGTCTGGATCCGTTCTGTTTGATTTCGGTCGATGTATATCGAGTTTGTTTGGATCTGGACTGTTTGGATCAGGTCTGTGTGTATCCGATCTGTCTTGATCAGGTTTGTTTGGACCAGGTCTCGGTCTCTCAGGTCCATGTGGATTAGGTTGGATGAGGTCTTTTTGGACCGGAATTGTCAGAATTAGGACTGTCTGGATCAGGACTGTTTAGATCAGCTCTGTGGTTTGAGGCTGTTTAGAGTTCTGAGGTGTTTATCGTTGCCTAAGGAAATCCAAATGAGTGCTGTCGAATCCTTTAGTCGTCAAATTCGTTCACGATAATGACTCATTTCTTTATCAGTGGACCCTGCAGCCGTTACAGATGGCAAGGGGACCGGAGGGGGGGTTGGTTGGCTCCCAGCGGACCTTCTAGTAGGTTAGCGTCTTAGCGTAAACCCCCGCAGGACGTAGAAGCTGTGGCAGCCCAATGACTCGCGACTTTTGTGAGCTTACATCACAAAAACTCTCGTTGTTTACATTTGAGCAATTATCGTTGCTGTTTTAAAAGAAAAAAAAAAATGAAAACCCCGACCTTCTTTCTGAAGTCTGGCTTCAATCCCAGGATGCAGCAGGGCTCCTTGAATACAGATGACACAATTATGATTGAACTCTTCGGGGGATGGCACGAATATGCCCAGAGACTCTGGGAAAATATGGACTGCTGTGACTTCCATTTAACACCCCCGCTCTGAATACAAGAAGGATTCAAGTGTTCATTATTCTTTTCATAATTAAGCCCCCCCCCCCCCGTACCTTTCCACAGAACAGCGACTTTACACCCGAGTCCCACCTTCCCACTCTTCTTTCTCCCACAGGTGCCTGCCCAACCTCTGATACTACCTCCAAAACCGGATGCTTCTAGATTCCTTTTTCCATATTAATGGAGAATATTTCCACAAATAATGTTAATATCCTGAGATTTAAATGAGTCGCGTCATGTAGAAAGTAGCTTTTTATAGCCTTCATTAGGGTGTCAAATTTTGAATTCCCAGAAAAGACGCCACGTTTTTTTTTTTAATGAAGTCAGTGGCGTGTACGTGCTCGAGTGGTCCCGACGGCCGTTTGAATTAAATCTACCCATCCGTGATTCCTGATTGATTCCCAAGCGATTCCTGCGCAGCGCCCGTGGCAACCGAAGGGGCCTTTGAATCGTGCCGTTCGGGCCACGGCTGTTGGTGCGTGGCATCGCCGCCATCTTGGAGCACTAATGCCCATCAGAATGACAACTCAGATTCAATGGCGCCGTGGACGGAATGAAGTGCCAGGACTGGAAGAACATCAAAATGAAAAGAAAACTTGAAAAGCTGGAGGGCTCCGTTCCTTCCCAAAAAGTTTAGGTGACTTGAAAGCTATTATCAGATGGGGGAATGGAACCTTTGTGAAGGAGAATAGTGGCTAGCCCAGGGGTATCAAACTCATTTTAGTCGCGGGCCAATTTGGAGTTACGTCTTCCATCGGCGGGCCGTTATGACGCCACAAAATTATTGATTGTACACAACAAATTAATAGATTATTAGTTTTGAAATCAGTCAATTATAATAGTTTGTTCAATTATTGTTCAAGTGAGTGTAAACTGGGTCACAAAATTGTTGCAAAAGGTCAATGTCATTTTTTTTTTTTTTTTTTTACACATGGCAATTTCAAATTTCGGTACATATTTTAGCAAGTTGACAGACACGATTTGCTTTCGCGGGCCACATAAAATGACCTGGCGGGCCGGATCTGGCCCCCGGGCCTTGAATTTGACACCAGTGGGCTGTGAATTTACTCTTTTGAACGGTACAGGCACGGAATGAGGGGTGGAGATATTGCAGCAATCCCCCCCAGCATGACAGGTAGTATCTGATACGAGATGACTTCAGTATTTAACGACCCGGCAATTTATCAGATTCCAAAATTGTATCAAATAAATGAAAATTATGTCGCCGAGCTGTGACTGGGTTTGGGTAACCCTAACCTGCCGATTTCCTGGTTTTGAAAGGTAGTACGTAACGAGAGACTGCTGTGGTGTGTGCGTGTGAACGGCACCAACACGAAATCTGGGGAATGAAAGACAACCTGGGATACCGGCGTTGGGAGCTCGAATCGGATTCACACTGCCAATTGGCGGACTCTTGTCGGTGACACTTTCCTCTGCCGGCTTGGCTGAAGAGTCACCGCGAGTTGTCTTCTAGTACCTGTTGCTATGGCGACAGCAGCAGTCAGTCAGCCGGTCGGCGAGGTGCCGAGGTGTAATACATTCAAATGGAAGCAGACAGGGATAGAAAAGAGGAAGTTGCCGAGTGATATTCCGCTCGTCTCTTCTGGTACCACCGGGCAGGGAGGGCCGGGGGGGCAGCCAACCTTTCCATACCGGATCTCATTATGTGGCTGTCACTGATGACCTTCTCAAAGCTTCCTGAAATGCAAAGCAGCAGTGCGATTCCGACGTCTTTGTGCACACAAAATGGTGGCGAGGTTACCTATCGCCTTGGCGCAACACACGTTGCCGGCGCTAACGTTAGCCTCGAGCAAGGCGAGTTTGTCTGGCGGAAAGACGAAGGAGAAACGTGCTCGGTTTTGACAGCCGGGGGCGTGTTCATGATTTCGGAAATTGCTCGGGAGTAAGCCAACTTTGATGAGCCGACGATTATCCTCTCACATAGAACAGCGAGAACAACAATGCTGTTGACAGCCAAATCTTAAAGTATCGTACATTCCACCTCTTTCTTCTTACTTTTTGTTTCTTCTTGTTCGCTTGCCTTTTTTCAAAATTCTAGTAAATTGCTTGTGTGCACGCGTCTGCGCGTGCGTGTGCGTGTGCGTGTCAGAGAATGACCAAAATCAACTAAATCGCCACCAGAGCAGGATGTAGTGATGAACGCAAAGCCAAAGGGACGCTGGGATGATCCTGAATTTTAAACAAGACACGACTGCGCATGCCGCGTAATTGATTTCCGCACACGCGTGTGTGCCGCGCGCGTGTGAGCAGGGGAGCACTCGGCTCTGATCTTTAATGGCGCCACTGTTAATATTTGATGTCGAGAGGCGTGTTGTCAGCAAAGAGCGGCATGATGACAAGGTGCCCGGGCAGGCGGGCTGTTCACACGCTGTGCATCCAAGCAACCTCGCACACGGGCGCCGTGCTCGCTCCCCCTTCTTGATCCGCCTCCACATTCACGCGTCCGCGCTTTGGAAGCTGTCCTCCGGTATGAAAGTTATGGTTTCAATTGACACTGACTGTACGAATCAAGCATTCCTTACTTAAGACAGATTCTTTTCGAGTTTGGCTGTGGCCAGGGGCATGGCCAGAGACTGATGTAGCTCCGCCCTTACTGTCTTTGTGTGTATTTTGGCACCACTCAATGTTTGGCAAAGCCGACGTACAGTTGTCAGGATCTTCAGTGATGTGGATTATGATGTGAAAAGACTGTTACAGGAAGCCACAAGGAAGGCGAATAATTATATTATTCATCTTCATCCACCTTTGATATATAATATTCCCCCCGCAGCTTATTTTAGAGAGCCTTCCTCCCTTAAGTAGCTTATCCACGATATGTTCCCTTTGAAAACGTTTTTCTCTCTGTCCGTGCAGACGTACCGGACAGGAAGTTGACGTCGGACGAGGAGGAAGCCAAGCGCATCGCCGAAATGGGCAAGCCAGTTCTGGGCGAGCACGCCAAGTTGGAGGTCATCATTGAGGAATCCTACGAGTTTAAGGTGCGTGTGTGTGTTTTTTTTGGGGGGGGGGGGGGGGGGGTAGAGGGGAATGCATCAACCAACTTAATAACATCCGGCCCCCATCAGTTCATGTGCTTACCTTGCAGTGGAAGTCAAAAATATCGTTTGTCTTGAGGGTTAAGTTTGAGAGAGATGTAGGTTTTTCTGCATTAAATCTTTTTCTAACACCAATTTTTAGGACCTCTCATTGCTTCCTCATTTTCCAAGCGATTCGAACCATTCGTCTTTAATGAACAATACAGGTGCTTTGAGTTTCGAACGTACCTTCGAAGTCACTGCCGCAGCTTTGAAGCAGGAAGTTCAAGGGGAGGCTGCCACCATGTGGTCACGATGGTGTGTCTGCTGTTGTTGTGACAGAGCACCGTGGACAAGCTGATCAAAAAGACCAACCTGGCTATGGTGGTGGGCACCAATTCGTGGAGAGAGCAGTTCATGGAGGCCATCACCGTCAGCGCAGGTACTCCTTTTAAACTCATTTGTGGAGTTTTATCTTTTCAACATGTTTCAAATCTCCTTTTAGCAAACAACCAAGCGTTTGAAATATTTGAAAATGTAAGTCGATCACTACTTTGAATTTGTTTCTTCCGTTTTTTGTTTTTTTTTGTATTTTATTGAATTCATACAATCTGTTTTTAATGGGTCTTACATATTCCAATACATTTCACATCTTTGACTTCCTTTTTAAGTGTAATCTTTTTTTAAACCTCTTGTATCTTGTGCGCGGTGTCGCATATATTTCCCTCGAATTGGGAAATGATACCTATTCTGATGCATCAAAACATCTCATCTCTGCTTGAAATGTATGCATGAGAATTTGAGTGAAGAGAATCCACATTTGTCGCGCCCGCTCTCGGACAGCAGAGCGCTCGCAGGAGTGGGGGGTGTTGGGGGGGAAGAGAAAATTCATTCATCTGATGATGCATAGCGGCGGCGGCAACAGCAACAGCATCGGATCGTCTCTCTCGCCATGAAATATTCAAGCCAGCGGCGCTCTGCGCGAATTTTTTTACAGGCTGGAAAACGCACGCTGCTCTTCCTTGGCCTGACACTTTGAATAAGCGCTCAGCTTGCTCGCTCGGGCTTCTTGCACCTAACGACGTCCCGAGGTGACACTTTTCACTCGGAGATTGCAACGAGTGACCAGACAAAAGTCTTTGGACAATGCTAACCTTGATGTTTTAGTGAGCTTTAGCATCGATGCACTTTGAGTGGCCTTTTGATGAATTCCAAAAGTATTAGTTTCATTTTGGGTGCGGGCAAGAGTGTATTCAAGTGTCTGAAATGAGGCTTCCAAATTATGAAAAACCTCTCAACTGTCCATGAAGCACCATGACTACAACCTGGAAAATGTAAGCTACTTTTTTTTAGCATCTTTCTTACGCCTACACATCCGTACATGTTTGAGCTCCAAAAATACTTTTATATCCACTTGGAGCCTCCAGTGGCTGGAATCGGCGAAGGACTTTCCACATCGTGATAAAAGACGCTAGCCACCAGCTAGCACACGAGCTAACCGCTTTTGGCTAATAATAATAGCCATGTAACTCATAATGGCACTGGTCCGCCGCCACTAAAATATCACATAAACCAATCCTGATATATATATATAAAATTTTGTTTTCCTAATGAAGGTGGCTCCATCGTCAAATTGGATACTAAGTCCATTTTTTTCCTTACCCTTGTCCTCATCTCCTCCCCGTTGTCCTTTCTATTCCCACCCTTTTCTCATCGCACATTTCCAGACGAGGACGAGGATGACGCGGGCGAGGAGCGTCTGCCGTCGTGCTTCGACTACGTCATGCACTTCCTGACCGTGTTCTGGAAGGTTCTGTTCGCCTGCGTGCCACCCACCGACTACCTGAACGGTTGGGCGTGCTTCGTGGTGTCCATCGTCATCATCGGCCTGCTCACCGCCATCATCGGCGACCTAGCGTCGCACTTTGGCTGCACCATCGGCCTCAAGGACTCGGTCACTGCCGTCGTCTTTGTGGCGCTTGGGACCTCCGTGCCAGGTCAGGATACGTGCACAACATGGACATATTGTCCGACCCCTATCTGTCTCTTAGCAATTGGGTCAAAAATAACCCAATATGGGTGAAAAAGGGACCAACCCAACTTTTGGAGTTATTGATTTAACCCCAAAAAGATAGGGTTAAAATGAATAAACATGTAAAACAAAAGCGGGTTGTTTCCTGAGTAATTCAAATTTTTGCGGTTGATTGAATGACCCCAAAAATGCATCTCCCTTTTTGACACAATGTATTTTATTTATTTATTTATTTTTACTGATTTTAGAGTCTAGCTATCTATGTACACTAAAAACAGTTGAGTCAAAAAAATTAACTCTATATACGTGACAAAAAGGGACCAACTTTTGGATTTAATCATTAAACCCTAAAGGTTGGGTCAAAATGAATGAATCCACGAAACAATCTGTAGCTAGCTAGCGATCTAACTAGCTAGATCGCCAGCTAGCTTCTATATCAACAATATCTAGTCTAATTCGACATCGCAGTGTCATAGAATGTAATTTTCAAATCATGGTGCATTTGTCTTTATTAAGTGTACACCATCCCATAAGACCAAAAACATTTATTATATCATAAATCTGATATCGTAATTGCTTGTGTTTGTTCAAAAAGACATGGAAAGCGGACCTTGAAAAAAAAAAAGAGAAAAACCAATTGCTATGACAATATTTTTCCCAAATTGCCCATTTCGGTCCACAGACACGTTCGCCAGCAAGGTGGCGGCGGTGCAGGACACGTACGCCGACGCCTCCATCGGCAACGTGACCGGCAGCAACGCCGTCAACGTGTTCCTCGGCATCGGCCTGGCGTGGTCGGTGGCCGCCATCTACTGGCACAACAAGGGAAAGCCCTTCGTGGTGGAGGCCGGCTCGCTTGCTTTCTCCGTCACGCTCTTCACCATCTTCGCCTTCCTGGCCGTCACGGCGCTGCTGTACCGGCGGCGGGCGCATATCGGGGGCGAGCTGGGCGGGCCCCGCGGGCACAGACTGGCCACGTCGGGCTTCTTGTTCAGCCTGTGGTTCCTCTACATCCTCTTCTCCAGCCTGGAGGCCTACTGTCATATAGAAGGCTTTTAGATGGACAGGACTTCATCCGAGAAGGACCACGAGAGGCACGGTATGACATTCAACCACGCCCTTGTTTCTCCCGCCAGCCCGCCGTCCACACACACACACACACACTTCAAGCCCTTCCGCTGGGCTTACACGGAAGGCGGTGCTGCCCACCCTACGCAGACCTCCCGGGGGATTGCCCAGAAGATGCCAAGGAACGGGGTCCAGCATTCCACCAGAAGGAGATAACTGCAGTCTTACACCTTTTGGAGAGAATCTATTTTTCTCAACACCGTGACCTGGAGCGACACTTTTTTTAAAGAAAAGTATTTTGGCGATAAAACTGCAAAAAAAAAAAGAACAAAATAATAGCAGAACCAGATGCAGGAGGGAGTCGGAGTTTATTTTTATTTATCTTTTTTGTGCTGCAGAAGTCACAACCACAGACAGTTATGGAACACGACTTCCATATTATCTCTATATCAGTATAAAAATATGATAGATTTAATGATTTTCTGTATATTTTCACCATTCAAGTGCGCTCATGCAAGGAACGAGCGATGCGACTCCATACCGGAACGATGTCTTGACCTTTTTAAGAATCACGCCTATTTTAGTCATGAATGGACTCATCTCCGTCTCACGCCAACTTTCACACCTTTTTCAATCAAAAAGAAGAAGAATGAAAGAAGTGTTGCCGCAGAGATACAGAGGATACATTCAGAGAGGTATTTTTCTAATGTTTCCTTCCATTGCACTTTGCTGTAGACTTCGATGTATGGAGCACTTTGCAAGCAAGAAGAATTGATGTGAAAATGGCCCCCTTTAAAAAAAAAAAAAGTATTTTTTTAAAAGCTGCGTTCTTTTTTTCTGCCACTTGGGGTCAGCACACGACCTGGAAAAATAAGATAATGGTGAGTAACTCCCCTCGTCATTTCATGCAAAGTAACGAAAGAACTATTTCAACAAATTATTATTTAATCAACATTTTGTGAATAGTATTTTATTTAGTTATAGAAAGAGAACACACCTAAATATCTTTAATTTTTTAATTAGTTATAATTGTTCTTTTAACATTATTTTTCATTGTATTTTTTGATTACAGAAAGTGTGGAAAGTAGCATCACTTTCGTAAAAACACACCTAAATATCTTTAATTTTTTAATTAGTTAAAATTATTCTTTTAACATTATTTTTCATTGTATTTTTTTGATTCCAGAAAGTGTGGAAAGTAGCATCACTTTCGTAATAAATCCACCACTACTTAGCCAGTACCTTGCCATTTATTTTATTATGAAGTTAGCAGTAAGTTACCATTCATAAAAAAAAAAGGTTACTTATTTTTATTTATTTTTTTAAGTCTGTCAAGTAACAGCACTGAACATCACAATATAACCAAAAACTTACCAATTATTTTATCTTATTATAAAAAGTGTGGACGGTGAAGTCACAACTGTAATCACACCACTACTTAACCAGTACCTTAATATTTCATACTTTTAATATATTATTTAATGGTGTCACTTTTTTTTTGTATTATGAAAAATGTAAAAAGTAACATCACTGCTGCTCTACGACTTATCCACTACCTTCCCATTTTGATTCCCTGCTTCTACGGAGAGCTCAATTGCTGAATACTGATTGACGCCAATTTAAACCACTCACCAAGACAGAATTTGTTGAATATACAGTGGAACCTCCAAAGTGGAACATGTCAAAATCATTTATCGATTCAAGGAAGAAAAAAAAACTCATGTGCTGTCCACAAATAATTTCTTAAGTCGACAGAAGATGTTATTAGTGACATTTTAGGTGTCATACTCTGTGTAATAAAGGGTGATATGGCCTGAAAATGTGTTTCTTCTCATGAATCGGATTGCCGATTCAAATTGATTTGTTCTCTTTTTTTGTACTCAATGATACACTTATGCGTTTGGTCACTCCCCATCACCAAAGGGACCCCCCCCCAAAAAAAAAAAGCCAAAGAAAAAGCAAAACCAGAGAATTCCAGACTTTGAAGATTCCACTGTAAACAGGAGATAGAATACAAGTGCAGGGACACTATTTAGCCCCTGAGGATGTTTTGTGTGTGTCTTCCTCTTCAATCGGAAATGCTACTGTACATACATGAAACAAAGTTCACGCACTTCTTGAAGCCACATTTGATCTTTTTTTTTTTTTTTTTTTTTGAATTGTTTCTCTTTCTGTCACTGAAACCGATAACATCGACGTTTTTTTTCTCTCTGCCTTGACTTATTTGTGTTTTTTAAATCTGTGCCAGGATATGTCGTGGATTTTTTTTAAGGTTAAAAATCAGTCACGTGACTTTCTAGGGGCCTCACTGGACTTTGTGAGTGTTTCACTTTTATGGTCTTTTGTAAAAAGGGACAATGTTTGGCGCGGGATAGGGTACGTTTTAATAGTTTTCCCAGGCCTGCCATGAGATGTCAAATTTCACAAGAAAAAAAAGCGGAGTCAAAAAAATATCAATTTTCCAAAGTGTTTTTTGAGATTCTGTGTTTTCTTTTGAGCTCTACTGTGGAATAAAATCAGCTTTCTGGTTCACAAGAAACAAGCAAATTATCTTCTTTTTCTTCATTATTTTATCACCGGTCATATTTTTGTCAAAGTGACATTTTCATGCTTTTATGCAAATCGTCAAGTGTGAAATTAAACAACCAATTAAAACTTGAGCTATTTGCCTGTTTCCCAAAATGTTCTATTATGTCATAATTCAGCTAATTTGCATCATGCCACTAATGGTAAAATGCAATTTGCGCAGGCTTTTATGCGTCAAACTTAAATTAAAATCTACTTCAATTAAAATAAATTTTCATAGTGATGTCAATTTACGTCTGTGAAAGTGATGAAAAATGAATGTGCCTTTTTTTTTTGTTTGGACAGTCTTGGATCCGATGTGACGTCATGTCATAGGGCGGGGGCTGACCGGCTTCCTGACGCGCACCAATAGGAGGCCAGGATAGATTCGCGTGTTGACGCAGACAACGGCGGCTCGCCGCGAGCGATGATTGTGACTTTTTGTGTTTTTTGATGCTTAGTTGGAGACACAATAATGATGACGCGTATTACCCACAATGCATCTCAGACGCGCGATCTGAAACGCGCGCGCGGGATTAACCGCAATTTAAGTTAGCTAGCTAGCTGCCAGGTGAATGCGCCTGGCCCTGCCGCTGGGCTCCGGGCCGCCCCATGGACCACGTCCATGGATGTCTCCCCCAAAGCGGCTTCGGCGGAGCACAGGTCGAGCCCCGGGCCGGGTGTCCCGTCCTCGGATCAACCAGATATTTTCCGCTGGCCCACGCCGGAAGAGGAGGATGAGGAAAAGGGCGTCGAGCCGCAGACTGCACCTGCCGGCTGCTGGACGGCCGTGTTCGACTACGAGGCGACGGCGGATGACGAGCTGAATCTCCGCCGTGGGGACCTCGTGGAGGTGCTGTCCAAGGATTCGCTGGTGTCCGGGGACGAGGGCTGGTGGACCGGTGTGGTGGCCGACCGGGTGGGCATTTTCCCCTGCAACTATGTCAGCAGGGGCGTGCCGGAGAAGAGGCGGGCCGCCTCGTCGCAGGAAGTGACACCTTTGCACCGTGAGTACTCCATTGTGCTTTGCCATCAATTAAAATGTTGATAACAACGACAAATGTTCCAAATAATGATATTTAGAGCATCTCAACATTAATGGTCGATACGAGTGTAACGAAATAGATTCATTTACTTTCCTTCCTTGATGCGCTGCTGTGGTTATCTGTGTGCAGTGGTGCCTTGAGACTTTGATTCAAAAACTGGACGAGTATCTTAGGTCATCTTTCCCCACTGAAATGAATAGAAATCACAATAATCCATGACACTTTTTTTAAAGGAGAAAATCGTGCCCAATGACATTGCACTTCGTACCAACAAACAGTAATGACATGATTAAATAGAATTAAGAAAACATGAATTATGTTGCTGCCCGCTTTGGCCACCTAGGGGCAGTATAAGACATATAGATATACTGTTCATGGACGTCAGTACAATTTAGATGGCTCAGGTCCTTGCAGAGGATAAAGAATAGTGTGAGTACTGTTTATGTGAGTTAGGGACAGAGGACCTGCCTCGAATCACACAAATTTGGAAATAGTGGACACTCCCCACATCAAAAATGTGTATAATTGCCTGTATTTATATTTAAACCCAAAATATAGCCTAAAGTACAGTATACCCCAATACTTGAATAGCATTTGAAACATGGTCTAAACTTATGATATACAGATGATTTGATTTAATATAAATGCTCCAGAAATGCCAAGACAATAACAAGGCCTAGATGTGGGCATGGCTTGTTTGGGCTGATGTGTTCCTCCTCTGCCGGCCTACATTTCGCGCACCACCTGAAATATTCATGAGCATCTGCTCAAGGAGGAGGGCGTCCCCCTGGGAGCGTAACCAAGGTTGGAAACTTTCCATGGCCATTCGGGGGGGATTTCTTGGAATTTATCTGAGTAAAATAGACAAATAATTACATTTATATATATTTTTTTTTTGCGTGTGTGTTGCAAGTGCCCCCAAAATTGTGCTGTTAAGATAACGTAAGGCTTTCGTCTATGGGCAAGGGGGGCTGGAGCTATTTTGAATTGATGTTGACATTTTTCTTTTTAATTTCCCTTAATTTTATTCCCCAAACAATTTCAACAATTCCCATGGAAATTTGAGAAACAGTTTTTCCACAATTCCACAGCTGTACTTCCCACGGCAATTCAGTGGGAACTGAACAGAAATTTACTGGAAATTTTCCAGCCCTTTCAACCCTAAGCGTGCCTGTATTTGTAATTCACATTTTTGTAACAGTTGTTGATTTCCTCCATCCTCAGTCCTGGAGATCGACTTTTCTGAGCTAGCCCTGGAGGAGATAATTGGCGTGGGTGGCTTCGGAAAGGTGTTCCGGGCGGTGTGGCGCGGCGCCGAGGTAGCGGTGAAGGCGGCGCGGCAGGACCCCGACGAGGACGAGGAGCAGACGCTGGCCAGCGTGCGGCAGGAGGCCAAGCTCTTCGCCATGCTGGAGCACGCCAACGTTATGGCACTGCTGGGCGTTTGCCTAAGCCTGCCCAACCTGTGCCTGGTGATGGAATACGCCCGTGGCGGCGCCCTCAACCGGGTGCTGGCGGGCAAACGTGTGCCGCCCTGTGCGCTGGTGGACTGGGCGGTGCAGGTCGCCCGAGGAATGCGCTATCTGCATGACCAGGCCATCGTCACAATCATTCACAGAGACCTCAAGTCCAGCAACGGTAGGAAATTAGAACCCATGCCCTAACTTAATTATATGTGCTGTTTTTCTCAACATTTATTGAGTCAAGGTAGATATTTAGAAAAATCCCAGGGCACATCAACAAGAGAGAGGCAAAGCACTGACATAAACAGGGATGTTCATTAACCACTCCGGGCATCTAGCATGTACGCAATCATGAACCCATGTTACATAAATGAGTTGGATTAACCCATAATGAAGGATGGGTTCCCCTAAAAAAAATAACAGCAAATCACAGACCGCAAAAAAAATGGATGTTTACGCCACACTAACATAATGATGATTTAAAAAAAAATGTTTTTTAAATTTTACTCATCAACTTTCTGAGCGCACAATTTGAGCCTGTTTTGCTGAACACAGAGCAATTAGGCTGAACTCCGCATACTTGCAATAAGGTATTAACAAAATTGATTATTCAGACATTTTATACTGTCGTTTGCCGATAGACTCGCCTAGATACTGACCCAATAAGAATGATAGAAAATGTGGCATCTTGGGACCAGGGAACCAAAGTGAGGGGGCAAAGTTTCATTTTGTCAGGCTATAGTCTTGTCTGAAACTATGGTCCTCAGTCGGAAAAGGGTGGAGTGCCCTCTCCGGGTCGGGGAGGAGATCTTGCCCCAAATGGAGGAGTTTAAGTATCTTGGGGTCTTGTTCACGAGGGAGGGCAGGAAGGAACGGGAGATCGACAGGCGGATTCGTGCAGCGTCTGCTGTGATGCGGACTTTGTAGCCGTCTGTCGTGGTAAAGAAGCAGCTGAGCCAAAAGGCGAAGCTCTCAATTTACCGGTTGATTCCGAACACAGCTTGTATCTCACGACTTGTTTGTTTGTTCTCTGCTCTTCTAC